TGACATAGCTATCGAAAATGGCCATAGAAATAGTGAATTTTCCCATTAAACATGGTGGATCTTTCCAGTTCGTGTTGTAAACGTTTACCAGGCCGGGCACTCCTCCAATAGTCATGGCTCTGATGGCCTTGGAAGACAGTACTAGTTACAGCGGAGAACATCAACCACTGTGGTTTGTCGCAATGATTTGTAGTAACATAAGCAACCACCAAACAAATATCACAGTGGTTGTTGCAGATTCACAAACATTTTTGTTTTTGGTTCGTCAAAATGTTGCAACGTCACTAGATATGGTGTCCATTGACTCCTGGATGACCATTTTCGCATTTTCCAACGCTTTGCTGAGGCGATTTCGTGTCAGATCCCACCGCGGAAGTGCTGAAAGGGTCACTGGATTTGCACGGCCGGGCGAGTGGTGTGACGATAGGATGAACCGGGGAGGGCAAAACAGATCGTGAAAGACCGTGGTGCATGGACTGTTTTCTCTAGCATGGGAAAATTCACTGTGAGGATGAGGCAAAAAAAAATGGTTCAGAAAACCCCATCTGTGCCTTTTCAGAAGTTGGTTTCTACACCCTTTTTGTTGCCATAGTTATTGGGTCATCATTCCCATTCCGAGATGGGAGTGCCCCTGTTGAGGAAATTGAGCCCTGCGAATTCCTGTCCCAACTTCACCTTTGCACACGAAGTGAGGGCCTTAGATCTGCCATGGTTGAGCGCTCACGAGTCTCAGGGACCCTGACTCGAAGGCGGATGAGACTTGTGCACTTTTTCACAGTGACAGACATTTGGAATACTAAAAATCAGCGGATTCACTAGTTTAGCATATTTTAATGATAATAATATAATTATATATATATATGTTAGCTATTTGTTTATCATATTTCTATTTGGCCTGAATATGGGTTGTCATGTTTTGGCATATTCTAACTGATGCTCTACATCAATACAATCCCATAGTTAAATTTTAAATATTCGGTTAACTGTATTAAAAAAAAAAACATTAGGGTTCCAACTATTTGGGATTTGGTCAATATGATAATGGCTTTGTTGATCCCCATGGATGGCCAAAGCATGTTCAACCCAATGTTTGATAGGCAACTCCCCACATTGGGCCGAGAAAAAACACATGTCCCGCACTGCTCAGCCCCGTGTGGACCAAGCGAGCGGCATGATGAAGGGCTTGATTAGTGCAGCTGGCGATGCTTGAAACATGTCAAGTTGGACTCCGAAGAATGGGGATGCAGTGGGCAGTGGGTTATCAAATGTTTGAAATATCTTGAAGAGTGGTTACTACATGTATAACATTTTAATATTTATAACATTTTATAACCACACATATCCACAAATAATATCTTGAATATTTGAATGTACTATTTGTGCGGATTTTGAACACAATTTTCAAGGATTTCTTGGGGATCCCGAATAGTTGGGAACGGCGTGCGAAAAGGATTGTGACCAAAAAAATAGCCCATCGGAAGGCACATGATAGCTACTTACTCAGTTGCAAAGTCACGGAGACGTAAATTGTAAATTGTGTTGTTGCATTTTTTTTGCGGTCTTTGATATATGGTGCGAAAATCACATCATTCATAGGGATGCAACATGATGCAACTACTAGACATTATGCAAACAGACCATGAGAATTTCTGGATTTTCCTGGTCCCCATGAGATGAACCAGGAGGTTGGAAACGGTTGGACGTATCCCATCATGATTTCTAGCTATAGCCAGAATAGGGCTTGAAAGTTCCCTAGAATCTAAACAAAGATTAGTCAGTATCTATTAATGGTATAAATAGTGGTATAAATAGGCTATACTATAAAGTATCCACTATAACACTTGACACTTTCAAAAGAATAAACCACCTGATCTAGGTATGCGGTATACAGGTTTATAAATGGGGAACGAAATCACAGAATACATAAAACATACACCCCTCAGAAACCATGGTTTTGCATGGGATTTACACCAAATTTGACACCCAGCTATAGGGGACTGACGGATGTACCCGCCAGGTGCTCACGACAAGAATATTGAAACCAGCAGGGCACACGGCGGGAACTGAGCTGTTGAAGTTTGAAAACTCTCGTTGAAGGGGCCAAATATTTCAGTTTATCGGTGGTTTACGACATAGCTTTACTAATATTACGGCCAGCACTTGTGCTACGCCCCAAAATCTTTTGGGATGATTGTTGGGAACCTCATTTCTGGTGACCATTACAGTACTTTGTGGCCTTCCACTATGTTGAGATGGTTAAACTTCATGTCCCTCACGAGGCTTCGTGAGGGACGTGATTGTTGTCCTTCTGCGGGGAATCGGCTGATTTTCTCTCGCTGTTTTCAACACTTTTTACATAAACCTTAAAGAACACTTACAAAAACCCTAGGAAAAACCCTAAAGAAACCCTAAAGAAACCCTAAAGAAACCCTGCAATGACAATGTGAAAGTGTATATAGTGAAGTACCTGTGGCGCAGCGCACGTGCTGCGGGTATACTCGGAAATGGGATGTCTATCCAATGGTGAATGCATGGAGCAGTTCGGAGAGATTGGGCTATCCATATTCCCAAAAAATGGGAGCCTGCTGGAGCTACTAATTATCTAATTGTCTTTCCCAATCACATGATAGGCTATCCAGTGGTTAGGAGGGAGCTAAGGAGCTATGGGTATTCATATTCCATCATATTCCCTATTAAATATTATTAAATGGGGAGCTAAGGAGCTACCATCCCAACCACATACTAGTAGGGAGCCAGTGTTTTTTTTTGTTCAAATGCAAATTTCGCAAATTTTTGAGCCCTCTATTTCTCACGAGGATTCCCATAGGTCCATATAGGTCCTAGTTCTGTTAACCAACTATCGGGCCCTTTTCCTGTAGCTTTGCCTCAAGGCATTGTGTGAAGAATTGGGTAGCCACAAAATTGATCCTTTATCATCATGTCCGGCATTATGATAATTATGGTTAACTGCTTTCATGAGTTCAATTCACCTCTTTTGAGACCTAAGTTTATGCTTGAATTCAATTCGTGTGATGGGTCAACAGTGGTCAACACCTATGTTCCAGAAACTGACAAAATCACAGCAAGCTCCAACGTTCCATGGTAAAAACCAAGGTTTCCTGCACTCCTTTGATCCATTGAATCCATCATTGGGTTAAATCCACCATTTTTTTTCATGTTCAAACCATGGTTTGGTATCGAATTTCCCAACTCAAGCATATTAAATCCTGGTTTTTGGTGGTGAAAAAAATATGGTGCCCATATGTTTCCATTCAAAATGCTCCCATCAACCAACGCGCGTTGCCGCCGTGAGTTCCTGGGTCGTCCCAAGGCCCAGGGCAATACCCGTCCTGCGACGAGTTGACGCAGAGTCGGCGAGTGTTTCTTGGCCGATCTTCGTACCCTCTGGTAATTTAACGTAGCTATTGAAAATGACCATTTAGAGTGGATTTTCCCATTAAAAATGGTGATTTTCCATAGTTATGTTCGTTTACCAGAGGGTAGATGGGATCCTATGACCGTGGCGAAGCTTCGCTGTTGGATTTTTTCTGTTGGATCTGTTGGTTGATGCGTGAAGGGGGATTATGAAAACTACTGGTTGGTGGTGACTGGAACCATGGAATTTTATGACTTTCCAAATATTGGGAATTTCATAATCCCAACTGACGAACTCATATTTTTCAGAGGGGTTGAAACCACCATCCAGACATTATACTGCGTAGCCAATATGTTGGGGATTATGATTTACACTTACACATATTTATATAATAATCCAAGAACGGGGAATCCCGTTCTTAACCAATCAGGATTTTTCTTGGTATTCAATGGAATGATAGAGGGATTTGGAATTTGATGTACCCCAAAGGTTTACAGATGTGGCAAATCCAGAAAACCAAGGAAGATCTGATCTGGGTGTTCCAATGTGTTCCACATGTCAATTTATGATAGTTTAACTGAGGCTAGTTAGTGAAGAAGCCTGGTTTTCCCCATATTTGTTTTTTTTTGCCCAGTTACGATCACCAGTTAAACCGATCTGTGGGATGATCCTCCAAGTGGATGCAGTTGGGGGGAATAAAAAAAGGGGAATCCTCAGAAGTTCGGTTAGAATCCCTATGCTTGTGATACCCTTTGGTTATGACTAGCATAGCCATGGTATAGATGGCCGATTTATAATGATTTATAGATGGTTTAACGGTTTACCTATTAATAGCATGGTGATTTTCCATGGCTATGTGAGTCATAACCAGATGGTATATTACTCATTAGGTGGAACTGCATGTTTGTGGGTGTGTCTCATCGCTCTGGTGGAACTGAAAAACAGGGTAGTAACGGGTAGTACTTTGCTGGATCAAAACGGAGCTGGGATTCGAGTTTGAGCTGTCGGAGTTTCAGTGAAGAACAGTGGATCTATTTCACCATAGCTAGGTTAACCTTGGATGGGTACAAACTAATCCTAGTCTTTTGGTATCAATGGGATTATCTACTAACTTGGCACTGATAGTTTGGAGCTCATATCCCAACTTGTGGTATTACCAAAGTTATATATCCATGTGTTTTCATCCCAATCCTGCAGCCCCAAACATGGATATGGCAAGAACTTACGGGCAGGTACCTCTGGTAATTTGACATAGCGAAAACTCATGGCTTCCATAGCAAACTGTTGTTCTATCCATTATCAACGATAATGAGGAACCATTATTGAACCATTATTAACCATTGATTTAATGGGTAAATTCATTGATAGTAACCATTATTAACCAGTGATAGTCCCATTATAATTATTGTTAACATACTTATCATGATTGAACCGTTATTTCAATAATAACCATTAATTACCCATAGGATCCATGTATGCTATATATGGTAACATTTACCATCAATATACCCCCAATGTTAGCATATATACCATACATGGATCCTATGGGTTATAATTATCTGTTTAGAACCATGATTTCACCCCAGTATTTAACCATTAACCATTCGTGTTCACCCCCGCATTTCCTTGCCAGGTGTATGCCGTCCTCATTTGCCTGGTCGATGCCCAAAGGAGTTGCGGGGCTCAGATCCTGGTCGTCCTCATGAAGTTTCGATACGCTCGATACATGCGAAAAAACCATAGGAAAATCATGATTTGGATGCTTTATAGCTGATTTTTATAGCTGAAAATCCATATTTTCCATGATACCAAGAAAACCCATAGGAAATTCTAAATGGATTTATAGCTGATTTATATGATAGCTAAGTTGAAACACATAACTTGTTTAACGTTTGGGTTGGTTATGGGGATATAACGAACTAATATTCATAGGGTGAATCTAACGCAACGTTCAAATCACTGGGGCACCACAGCAACCATTGGTTTTCAGAACGGCCAGTGAACGTTGAGTCGTCATGACTCGTTGGGGTCTCCCCAATATATCAATGGCGCCAATAAATAATATGGTTATTTACCAGATAGGTGTAGGATGATTTGTCAAGTGCATGGCCAGTTGGAGCTACTTATGGGGTTTTCCAACCACAAGATGAGATTTGTTGACTGTGTTTGGATTTGTTGGGGGGCTTGGAAGTTGGGAAGATTTTCCCGACCAAAGATTTATGGTAGTTCCATGGTTAACAATTCAAATATTCAAAGCATGTTTAGCGAGTAAAGTAAACCAATGGTTGATGCTGGGAAAATGATGCTGCTATGCAGTGGTATGTTGTATATACAATGTGAGGCTCCCCAGTGATGTGAACGTTGGTTAACAAAATCCCCAGTAACTATAGTTTTAAGTACCATAAACCATCGTTATTGGAGTTTTTTGAACCAACTTAGCTATCTTGGGGGCCTCACATTGTAGTTAATATTTGAATCTACAGCCAGCAGGCTGTGGCTTTGTTTGACTACCCCAAGTTCTTGCCAAATCCATCCATTTTACCAACGGGGTACCCATTTTCAGACAAACCCGTCTTGTACCTAAAATCTTGGCTTCGGAAATTCAAAAGTCTTGCATATTGGTACAATGTGAGGCCCCCAAGATATAAGTTGGTTTATAAACCCCATTAACTATAGTTATATCTGCCATAAACCATAGTTATGGGAGTTATAAACCAACTTAGCTAACTATGGGGCACCACCTTGTAGAATTAGACATGTTGAGAATGAAAGTTGGGGATTCCCCCAACTTGCCCCTGGCTGAGATTTCCAACCTGTGACAGGGCAATCAAAGTTGGCAGTTTTCATCCGATCTGTTGGGATGTTCCAGCCATGCTTGACCAATGGATTTCTAGCCATTTCTAGCCATGAAAATCTCCCCATTGTTGATGGGTGAATTCCATAAAGGAAATCCCCGAAATCCCCAAAGGAATCATACACAATGGCTGGTTGGTGGTGACTGGAACCATGGAATTTTATGACTTTCCAGAAACAGTTGGGAATGTCATCATCCCAACTGACTTTCACTCCATCATTTTTCAGAGGGGTAGGTCAACCACCAACCAGCAATGGTTAAAATTCCCACAATGGTTAACCGTAACCACCATTATTAACCATTATTAACCATTATCAACCATTATGAACCATTATTAACCATTATTTACCATGATTTACTATTATTTACCATTATTCATCATTATTATCCGTTATCAACCATTATTAACCAGTATTAACCATTATTTACCATTATTTGCCATTATTAATCATTATTATCCGTTATTAACCATTATTAACCATTATTAACATTTATTAACCATATAATAATCATACATTAACCACCATTATTAATTGACCACTAGTCAACTCCTATTTTTTTCCACGGTGAAATCTTTGGTACTTGCTTCTTTTCCTAAGGTCGCACAGGAGGCTGTGCGAGAGAGACGGTGCCCATTGGGAATGGTCTCTGGGGCGGGCTGCAGGATGGATGAGATGCTCAATGACTGACCCTTTTTTAAAGGACTCTAGGCGACATATATGTTTCTATAGTGTTTAAAACAGTTTAGTATATGTTTAGTATATGTGAAACAGGACTTTTGTGATGTAATTTTTCAAAATGATACCCGCAGATCATTCATGTCCAACCAACTTGATCGGTAGTTTAATCCTTTAGTTGTTTGCTATAATTAAATTGACAAATGGACAGTAACCATAAGCAGCAAAATGTTATGTGTTTGTGGACTTTTAAATATTGACCATGTGTACTATAGTATACTTGGACTGTTTAGTGTATGTTTCTATTCTTATTCTTTAAGACTATATAGAGTTTTACTATACTTTGACTTGTCCTAGTTTGTGCATCGTTTATAGTTAATCACAAGCATAGTTGGGAAAGACTCGGATGTAGAACGACCCATCAAGCCCAGAAAATTGTTGGTTTTTCTGTTGGGGAACGTTATGATTCACCATTAATTTGTGTTAAACGGTGTTAAATGTAGTATCACCCAGCCCAGTTTCTGGTGATTGAGGTCCAATAAGCTTGACCATCATCGTCTCTGATCCTCACATTCCTCACCTCATTCGCACTCAAAGTTGAAGAACTATAGAATTATACCCTATGGATCCAAACACTGTCTGAGAAGGTACTTAACCCTCCAAATTATAGTAAATTATACCCCAAACACTTCCTAAGAAGATACTTGGATCCTATGGGTATAGAATATTGCCTCGTCATCTTCCATCATTATGTATTATACATACCGACATACCGTTTCCACACAAAATACATGAAACATGTCAATTTGGTTGAATCATGAAAAGCGTTTTTTGATGACGTCATAGATGTTGGTCAGATCGAATTACCACCAGACATCCCCAGAATTGTGCTTCGCATCGCAACTTTGCCATTGGGATCAACTTGACCAACTGGGGAATAGCAGCAGGATTGAGTTTAAAACCACATGAGTTCTTCTGAGGTTAACCCTGCACTTAAACTTGGCCGGTTGGCAACGAACCCTGATGGATTCCTTAAATTCCCCAAAATTTCGAGGCGCGATGTTCAACTACACTTTTCCCATTTTACCGGGGCAGCCAGCAATTCCGCGCCCAAGGATTCCAAGATATTCCAAGAATTGAGAATGTTGATCCCAATCCAATTCTAAGCCATGAATCATCATGAATCATCATCTGGGCTATGAATCATCCACACGTTTGTTTGCATATCCTCAAACCCAACGGATTGTCATTTTTTTTGTTTCTCATTTGCCATTGAAAAAGTGCTACTATGTCAATGTATGTTCCTGCCCAAAAAAATGCGAAACAAGTCTGTTCACTAGGTGATGCACGATTTTAAATCTTAATTTCCTCTAAAAATTCCAACCCTTCCTGCCCTTCCCGAACACCAAAATCTTCGCGCAAAGCTGGGGCCCTGACACCAACGCCTCGCCTGTTGCAGGATGCAGACCCGAGCCCCTCCGCCTGGGACCTACAAAGTCCCGAGCTTCTTTGATGCTGTAGACCAGCAGCGGCAGGATGGGATGCTTTTGCATATAGATGCATTAAGATATTATGTGTATCATTGTGTATCAGGATTAAGATCAGATGAGAAGGACAAGAGATGGAAGTGGTTGATCGCAATAATCCCTGGCTGGTGATTTAGAACATGTTTTATGATTTTCCATATATTGGGAATTTTCATCCCAACTGACGAACTCATATTTTTTCAGAGGGGTAGGTCAACCACCAACCAGTCATTGTCTACAGTCACGGTGAATCATCGAATGTCACCGCGCAGGAGCAGCATGGACATCGCCAGGAGCTCAGTATGGCTGGATGAGCGAAGGGAATGAAGGGAACGAGTTGTAACCCAAGGGGACACTGAAACACCATATGGGGGTTTCCACAAATGGGGTACCCCAATAGCTGGATGGTTTATTTCATGGAAAATCCCAATCTAAAATGGATGATGACTGGAGGTACATAGAGGTACTCCCATGGAAAATCATCATGTCATGAAGGCATTTTTACCGGAAATTGATGGGAAATTCAAACCCAATTTAATGGTGTGTTTTTCCCAAACAGTCCCAAGCCCATCAGATACCATGGTTTTTTCTCCTTCATTGGTGGCAGTGGACTGGTTTTTCATGGGAATTTCACTTCGGAAACCACCATTTCTTTATGGGAAAACCAAGGAAAATCCATGGAAAACATCCATGGTTTCTTCATGTGTCATCCATGGATTCGGCGGATTTTCCCAAGGATTTTCCCAATGCATCGGGGGTCGCGTGTTGGGGGATGGGGAGTCCATGGTTCCTGACACCTCGATAGCCATGATATGGAGCTGTCAGTGTCACAAAGCTGGGGATAGAAAATTACACCAAGAATTACGGTTTACGCATATTTACGTCTAAGTGCGAAAAAGTGTAATTCCAGCTCTTCTAGCTGCCAAATATGGGAATATCAAGGGCGGATACCTGCCTTGGATGGCGACCCCCACAACAATATGACGGTTCCCCTCTGGTAAACAAACGGTTTGCGAACTTGAAAATGGTCCAGTCGAAATAGTGAGTTTTCCCATTAATAGCATGGTGATTGTCCAGTTCGTTATGTAAACGTTGACCAGGCCAGGTGCCATGGCCCTTATTGTTATAGTAAGAGGACTGCCATCAAGTGATATGGGGCGGTCTGATCATTTTTTGGTCCCTCTTAAAATCCAAATTCTTTGGGGGGAACGGTATCTGGTTGGTGGTTTGGAACCATGGAATTTATGTCTTTCCATATATTGGGAATATTCATCCCAACTGACGAACTCATATTTTTTCAGAGGGGCGGCTCAACCACCAACCAGGTATACTCCAATTTCAGACCCATTTATTCGCAGGGATCCACCGGCGGGTTCATTCTTCGGGCTGAAAGACCATGCTTTCACCTTGTTTTTGTTCATCCAATTTTTGCCATTTTATAACCATTGGATGATTTGGGGGTGCCATGTATAACCATTGAGAAATGTCCATTCACCATTGATAACCATCTATTTTGATTTGTGGTATCCCCACTGATGGAACCCCCCCATGACAAGTCAAGAGCATTTTTGTTCGATGGTGAACCCCATTTTTAGCTGAGGTCGAAGGCGACCACTCGGAAGTGAATGGAACAATGAGTGGAAGACCATGTTCAGGCAGCGTTTCATTTCGTTTAAAAATAGGGGTGGACAGTTTCCCCAGTTTCCAAACTATTTCCAAACGATTTGTGTTTGATGGTTGAATATGATCATGTTCTCATATTGACTCAACGATTTTTTTAATGGTTGAATATGATCATGTTCTCATATTGACTCAACGATTTTTTTAATGGTTGAATATGATCATGTTCTCATATTGACTCAACGATTTTTTTAATGGTTGAATATGATCATGTTCTCATATTGACTCAACGTGTTTTTCATGGTTGAATATGATCATGTTCTCTTCATATTTTGTTCATTTGAATTGGCATCGTTTGGGATTTTCCTCATTAGAATTGGTGTTACATTGGGATCTCAAGAACTTTGACCCTTGAAAGTGGAGCGGAGTCATGACCTGGTCTTTATTGGCCACCAAAGTGTGCGTTGCTTGAATCAATCGAAACGGGGCACATAAGCTCCGCAATTTCATCGTCAAAGAAAGCACATTTTCAACCATATGAAATCAATGAGATATGGCAATCCACCTCAAAGCGACTCATGGCTTTTTCGTTGGCCATGTCCTGCCATGACCCATATGCTCCATGTATAGTATATTTACCTACAAAACTGGGTGATTTATGGGGTAAATGTTGGTAAATATTCCAGCACCATGGGTTGCACATGGGTAATCTGACATCCCCCCATGTTCTCCGCTGTAGGGCCATCCACGCGTCGCAAACTCCGAAGAAGAGATTGGCTTCGACGTGACGCGAAAACTGAGAGCTGGTTTGCACAAGGCAATAGAAGTCCTGGAGGGGAGATCTTAGAATCTCATCCCGTCACTGGATTGGGGAAGCTGGTTTCACTGTTGGACAACTGCCTTTTTGGTGCCTTCCAGGATGTTTTCCGCCTTTTTCAGACCCTAGGGTGGGCTGTTGCTGCATGGTTGATGTCCGGTGCAAACATGCCAAATTGCAAAATATCGCAAAAACCTTAAACCAAGCTCAATCCATGATGACTCATGATGACTCATGACTTGCAAAATCCTGCAGCAACACACCTGCCATTAGATGCCGCATGATGCGGCCACTTTTTAGGTCCCTGCTTAGCAGGAACCATGAAGGCCACCAGTGCGGCGAAAAACATGGGGCTGGGGCAGCTGGTAAGGTGAAATTGGTTGCTGTTGGTGAATGGTAAAGTAACAAGAAACCACTCATATTTTATTGTTTGTACCACACATTTATGCTAAATTTGGGGGATAGTAAAGCAGTATTCGCGTGGTCAACAAGAATGAGAACAGATTGTTGAAGTCCTGTGCTGTTGTTTTGATGCTATGTTCAATCTTAAAACTATAGAACATTATAGAACCTTGAAGTCGGAACACAGATTGAAACATGCTTCGTAGCCCATGGTTTTTTTGGAATGATCATCCCGTGCTGATTGGTCAAATTTGTTCACATTTGGATTCACATGTTTATTAGCATATAGTGTATATGGTGAAAATCCAACTTTTCCCGAGAAAATCCACGTTGCAAAAGTCCAAGTTGTGTTAGTCCAAAAACCAATTATTACTTCTCAAAACTATTCTTGTTGCTGGCCAAACAATGTGCGAGCAAAAACTAAGAAATACACATAGATTCACAACATATAAAGATCATGCTAATATATAATACTACTAATAATTAATGCTCAAGGTTTCAGTCCTAAGCCAAAAAGGTGTCACATTGCTTCCTGCCAGCTTCGCAGGCAGCCGCAGAGGACCTTTTCCGACAGGCCGTATATCTAAGATTGGCCATAAAAAGGAAATTCATGGCGAGATTGGATTATACATGGATTATGTATACACTTGTGGAGTCTGTTTTTCCTATATACTTTTAGTCGAATTATGGCCAAACATGGATGAAGAATAGTTTGTTTCTAGTTGAGATATAGCGTAATGACAATATATTTGAGTCACAGGGGCTTGATCAACCGAACTGGTGGATTTTTGTCGCGATTCCACCGGCAAAGGACAATCCATTGTGGGATGAGATTAAGAATTGCTAGTGCTCGTATGCTATGTGCAGTTTGCCAAATCAAACCTTATCTAATACACATAAAGATAAAGATGTAAATATAAATTGTTTAAACACGGGGGGTGCAAGTCATTTTGACTGATAGAAGCAGCTACATTGGGTCTCGCGAAGGGTACATAATAGCGGGAGGAACGTACCTGATTACCAGTGGGATCTGAGCCATTTTCAACTGAGGATTTAAGCTAAGCCCCCCATTTTCATTAGCCATGACGGAAAACACGTTTTCCACGAATCATGAGAGAATATGAAAACTCAATCAGGAGCCTTGGCTCTCTATTTTCAGCGAATTTGCAGAAAAGATGCAGTTCCAATATATGAATTTGAAGGTCCAGATTTTTGAGACATAGAGATCTCCTAAAATTGGGGTACCCCCAAGACATCCTAAATTATACAACTCTTGTATTGAAACCCATGGTTTTGGGGATCCACCATTTTAAGAACCCCCCCCACAGCCAAAATGTTGAAGAAACTCTAAGGATCTAATTCCTCCAGCATTTCTTACTTTGAACTTCCCAATGACAACTCAGTTGTCCCAGGTGTCCCAGAATCGGTGATGGTTCTTGAATAACTTTCAGCAGACCAGCAAAATATCACTCAGGCATTTCATTGGTGACGTTTCCCCTCGGGTAAACTAACATAGCTATGGAAAATGGCTCATAGAAACAGATGTTTTACATTGTTTTACCTATTAAACATGGTGACGTTCCATAGCTATTTCTAATAATTAATTTACTGGAGGGATCTGGAGGGTAAATCCATATAACATCCATATATATATAATTCCACATGTTTCATTTTTTTCACCTTCGCATGGTTGAAACACACAGAAACATCCGCATGTTCTCAATGGTTCAGGTCTTTGGTTCTGGAGGGTTCCAGGAGGTGCAGGGTGTTGTCATCGGGCATCCTGGTTGGATGAAGGAACTGATGGATGGAAATGGAGGGAACATGAGTTGTGGTCTAAGTTGTGGAAAGACATTTTTTGAGTTTCTACTGGAAAATTCTTCAAACTTTGAAGTTTTGGGCATGGTTTGTGTCATAGGTCCCTACGTGATGAATTGTGAGTTGTGTTGAAGCCACAGTCAGGACCCTGCGCATAGCTCCACAGTTGGAGGTTTAAACTAGATGTGCCATGGAGCTTTGGATATAATGATGTTGCTTATTATGCACTGGAACATGCTAGGAACCACAGTAGTACATAAACAAGACTTGGGTAATCGAAAGTCAACGGGCGAAGACCGTGTCAGCCAACAGGGCTGCGAGTCAGCCAACCTGAGTCAGCCAACAGGAAGGCGCGCGTCAGCCAACAGGAAGCCGCCCCGCCGTCCGACACAGAAGCCCCACGGCCGACACAAGTGCCGCCGTCCGACACAGCCCCTCGGCGGCCGACACAGACATGCCACTTTCGCCACGCAGACCTTATAGTTTGCTAATTTAGCTCTGGGATCTTTTATCCTTCTTTGTGGAAGCCCTGGACGTGCCGCCCCGCCGTCCGACACAGCAGCCCCGCGGCCGACTCAAGTGCCGCCAAACCGCATCAAAAAACAGGTTGTCACAAGGTGGGACCCCTTAGATAGCGAAGTTGGATTATAGCGGGTTTAAAGTGATTATGATATATTGTGACTATATATTGATAGACAGGGTGAACATCCAATTTACAACTGGGCGGACTCACCTTGTAATTGGTCTTTGCGAATTCTGACCCGTTTGACCCCCCTCTGAAAGAGTCATAGCCACATCATTATTCAGTTTTCCGACAAGGAACATCATAAAGGGTGCTTAAACCCTTAAAATCCCTCTTGAAGTTCAATTGTATTGATGTTTCCCAGCTGAACACAGTTTCAGATAATCCCATGATTCTTCCATTTCCACATAATCTCACCATTCCATCTGGATGAATCATAATGACGTCACAAAGTGACGTCACTTTGATGTCACTCACATGATTGTATCAGCTCTTCCAGATTAATTAATGTGTTTTAAAGCAGTTTCAGCCAGATTCCATCATTTGCACGGATTATATATATATATGTGCATGTATGCATGTATTTGGTGTAATGTACTGTAATGTTCCCCAATGTAATGTAGTGTAATGAAATGAAATGTAATGTAATGGAATGTATGTCATTTATAAAGATTACATACCCATCAATATCCATCTATCCATCCCCCTGTTCTTGTTGGCCTCCGCCAGCTCTTTTCGCAGCTCAACTTGTTGCATCAGGTCCCGACCTGGGGCAAGAGATCAAAAACGGGACTCCAAATTGGAAATATGATATAATAGTTTAAATACAATAAGAACATGATTTGATATGATGTGATATGATATTATATATATATACATATATATATATATATTATTATATTAGAAACTGGACATAACATTGGACGGATTTCTTGATGAGACCTTCGATAAATTGGATATATCATGACCCAAAAGTTTCTGACTTAAGCTACTTGGATCCGCAGGATATCCATGCAGAGAATCCCAGAGAATACTGCGGATGGGCCAGCGAAATCCTGCGCCAAAAGGATGGTTGAAAACCTATGAATAATGGGATAAACTACCTATGAGCTGGCGCAGGATTTGGCAACCATCCACCGTGGCTATAGTGGAAAATCACCATGTTTACTAGCTAAATCATCTATTCTATGGGCCATTAGCTACTGGTATATAAATGTATATAACATATTTCCGGTAATCATGGATTCTCAAATTTCCGGGAAAATGATTTTTCTAAGGTCTATAAATGATGTTCTAAGGTCTACAAATGATGGATTTCTCAGTGATTTCCCCAGAGATTTTCCCCTGCCGACAGGGGATGGCCCCGGGTGGACTGCGTCCAGGGACCAGAGTCAAGGCGGGTCAGTGTTTGGTTTATTGATTTAATCGGATTTGATGTACAGTTTATGTAATACACAGTAATTCACCTAGATATTTGATATGTATACATATACATATGTTCTGTCATATTACATTATTATATTTTACTATATTATATTATATTTTATTTTATTGTATGTTACTATAATATATTACATTATACTATATTATATTAGATTATATTGTATTATATTATATATTTATTATATTCTATTATATTATATTTTATTATATAGATTATATATATATATAATACATTATACATATGTGTGCATATCTGGACAATGAACTATAATGACATCACGTCGCGACCTCTCTTGAATGAATCATCCCCAAATTGGCATATCTCAGAGTTGTGAATTAATCTAGTTTGTCCAGGCATATATTTTTCTCATGATCGAAAGTGTGAGTGTATACCATTGTTCGGGATGGTCATCAATCCGTTAATATAGGTATTTATAGACTCATTGTAAGGATTCCCAATCGGGGATGGATGACCACAAACCATTTACCATTGTTTGACTATGGCACAAATATAACAAACCCCAAAGAAAGTAAACACATATTCTAGCTCTCACTATAGTTATTTTAGTAGGATTTGATTGTTCTATTTTGTTGAAGGTTGCTATACATATGTATATATATATGTGTGTGTGGGTGTTTTTGATAATTGAAGAACCCACATTTGATGATAAATCATTCTCCATATTTTTTTTTACTATTTTGGTGGAATACATCATTTCAGACACACCCATATGTTGTTGGGTTAGACATTGATGACTGTTATTGCTTGTGTGTTTCTGGTTTGCCTTGTTTGATCATGGTTTATCTATTGCGATACATTGTGGTACAGGACGACAATATCACTGAGGCAGATATGTGGAAGATTTATTTGTTTTGGACACTTCGACTCAGTATTTTCACTGCACGTGTATTCACTTTACGCAAATTACAAAAATACAATGGACCGCACAAGAAATATTCCATGGCCATGCCGCTATATTATACTATACGATACTATACTATACTATACTATATTTTGCTTGAATAAAATATTTGCTTGTTTGTTTGCTTGCTTGTGCATATTTCGAATGTATTGTTGTGTCTTTGGATGAGATTTTTTGCATTGACTTGCTTGACCACAATTTTGGTATGGAAGCACGTGTTGGCTCAATCGCATTGTCTGCTATCAATCTGCTTCGTTTCGCTCCTTCGTTATGCAGCAGGCGGGAGAATGTTTGTCGGTCACCTGTTATTTGTTGGACAACTGACTGTTTTCGTGACCTGGCCAGGCAGACTCCATGATCCTTCACCAAGTCCTACCAATTGGAACAGACCTTTTTGACGCACCCATGCCCACCGAAGAGGAGATAGCAAACGCACCAATCACACCAAGGATTGGAACCACATTCCGTGAAGTCGGCACAGAGCCTGACAAAGTCGTGGCTCATGTGCATGTGTTCTTGCCCAGCGGTCGTGGAGAATCAGTTGAGCTTTGGAAGCGAGACAATGTCGCGAGTCTTTCGGAAAGAGCTTGCAGACAAATGGACACCAAGAAAGCAAACTTTTGGAGTGATCTCCTGCAGTTTCACATGGAGCGAAACTGACTCGATGTTGAAAAAAGCGCTTTAGCTTGCCTTGTGACTTGTCTTTGTTTGGGGGTTGCATTTTAAGCATTTATTGAGAAGACGTTATTTATTGTAGATATTGGCAGATATTGGAGGATATTGGCTCAAGGCGATTGATCAAACGATCATAGACCCTTTCTGCGCAGAAAGCATGGTTTCGAACCGGCAGGCCCAAGATTTCCAAGCAGAAGCCAAAGCAGCTTTGGGATTGGCAGACGATTGCTTTGCTATCTGCGCACGCCAGCTTCACCAAGCAGAAGATAGAGTTCTTGGCGAGGAGGTTCCAGTACCTTTTATGCCTACTGCCTTGGGCATTGTTCCGAGTGCAAATGGCCATATGGGATTGTTCTACGGAGCAACTTTGACCATGGGCCCTGTGCAAATGCTTGTGATTCGCTTTGAAAATGGTGGATACATCCCCGTTGAGGCCATGGATGTGGACCTTGCTGATGACTGGCAGCATGCTTGTGTCTTGGTCCCACGAGCCCGTGAACAGCTAGCGATGCCAGCTGATCAACCACTCATCTATGGCTTCTTCGGAAGCTGGTGCCCTACGTTGATTTTCTTGGACAAAAGCACTTTATGTTTGGCCATCGATATCGTTGCAGAAGACAAACCCCGTTCTCAGAACTTTGGCTGTGGGATGTGGGCAAAAAAAACCTCAGATCCCATCCTCGGATGATTTTGAGATGCGCGTCATGCTGCAATGCTTGGCACAAGCGGCTTGCAAACCAGAAGGCACCCGTGAGATGATGGAGGCTGCTTGCACCTACAAAACATGTCTCGAAATGCAAGGTGCCATGATGACATATCCATCGTGTGCCAATTGGCTGGCAGAAATGTGGGCAGGAGAAGAGCTTACGATGGAAGATCTCGGTTCTGTGATCCGCAACAAGCATGGAAACTATGTGTGCCAAGAGCTGGTCCGGCAAGCCTCTGCCGAGGCTTTGGGTGCTCTCTTCCGCAAGTTGACGTCTAAAGAGCATTATTTGCTGCGAGACCTCGCGTGCCACAACAGTGGATGTCGTATGCTTCAAAGGGTTTTCATGCGCGATGACCTCAATGACACAATCGCTGTTGTCGTGACCTCTTTGATGAGTGTTGGATGGAAACATTATCTTTACCATCGCTTCGGCAACTATGTGATCCAATCGATTCTGCTCAGCAATTCGTTGGATGATCATCAGCGATCATCAGCGCAAGAATGTTATGCATCAGCTTCTTCGAGAGATCGACATGGTGGAATTGCAAAGACAGTGGCGCGATTGGAAACGATCTACATTGAGTGGACCAAAACTGAAACGTTTCCACAACGCCTTCTTGTTGATTTGAAAAGTATGTGAAGGTGATCGGATGATGGCGGAGTCCATGGTCAATCTTTGCTACGCATGGCCCGAAATGCACCCTGCATTCATCCACACGCTGACCCGGCCATGATGACCACCAGGCTAACCGGGCCGCAGAAGGATGCTGTATGACAAAAGGACGCGCTACCGTCTTGTTTGTGACCTTGTTTTTTTGGAGCATCATGCATGACATATGCAAGCATCATCTATTTTAAAGAAGGTATTGTTTCACCGTGCCGTCCATGACACATGTATATTTCATTGATTTCGAAACATCTTGCTGCAGCTTTTTTTTGCTCAAATCATAGTTTTCGCAATGTCAGGAACTAGCAGTCACAAGAATTGGCGATGGCATGCTGCGAAGCTCTATCCTTCCGAGGCACGTTTTGATCACTTGGTTTCTTTGCTGCATGACATGTCATTATTAATGGAGGCTCGAGCTGCTTGTTGGGACGTGACCATCGAGGATGAATTGGATGATTTTATGGTCTCCCTCCCCGAGCCGATTGCAAAAGCCTCAGAGTCTAGTGTTTGTGGTTTGTGATCATTTTTCATTGAGACTATCTCAGGTCTACAATGCGACAAAAAATCAGGGTTACGAAATTCACACGTTGGAGTACGCCGCCATCGATACAGGCCCCGTCCTTGACATTCGCACCGTTGCATTGCTTTTAGCATGTGCTTTGCAAGGTTTGCCGATCTACTACCATGGCACGCCTCTGCCACGCCTTCCCAACATCATGGACGTGGGCTTGTTGCCTTCGGAGGCTGGTGTCAGTTTCCAAACACGAATTGTAACCATTTCGCGGAAAATGTACGTGCAGGTGCCAGGAGTGCACGAATTCACCACTCCTGGCATCTATGTGACGGACACTTTCACTGTGGCGCTGCACTATGCAACGCCCACGAGGCACCGCGACATAGATATCCGCAAAGTTGTTTTGGCTAATCGGGCTCCATTCCACCATTTGCTGCTGTGGAGAGCGCTCAGTCAGGCTGACGCCAGACCGCACGTGGGCGCCGTACGTGCGTCCTCACACTGCAACCCAGCAATGGAGCTGAAAGTTGGGATCTCGGTACAGCATGAGCCCGGTGCAGTATGCTGCATCATACATTCCGTGTAATACTTTGTGATTGTGAGGCTATCCTGTGCGTTCCAAAAAACATGGAGAAGGCCGTCAAATCATTTATGATCATTCGAAGCATCTCGCGATCAAGCGTTCGAAGCTCAGATGGCTCATGTTGTTCATCCTCCATCGAGTGGTGCTCTTGAGGTGTGCAATTGCTCCGCGGACAACCGCTCGGAAATCGTGGTCCATGTCTTCGCTGCAAATCGGTCAAGGCATGGTGCTTTGGTTGCTGGAGTATTTTTTAAAAAAATTCGGAGAGCTGCAAGAACCTCCAGCTGTACTACCCGGTGAGTTGGGAGTACCGCCGATACCAAATCGAGAGCGGAGAAGCATCACTTTGATCTGGCAGCCAATGGTTCAAAATACGGTCGTTTGCAGCATTGTGGTTGTGTTGTGTGAACATTGTTTTTGTGGGGGCTTTCATTGATTGCACCTTGATTGCACTTTCAAAAGTGCAATCAAAGTGTAATGGATCTTGGGAAATGTTCACACTGCATGAGTCCAACAAAATTTCATTGAAGAACGGCACATTAAGCAAAACCATTGAAGAGCGGCACATTAAGCAAAACCACTGAAGAGGTGCCTCTTCTGAAAACAAAATCACACTGCAGGAGCCCCACAAGATTTCAATGAAGAGATTCCTCTTCTGAAGCAGTTTCAAACTGAATGAACCCAACAAAATTAATTACTCTGAAGACTCTGAAGAGGTTTTCTTGTGAAACTGTTTCAAGCTACAAAAGTCCAACAAAATTTCACTAAGATTTTGAAGTATGGCTTGTAATGGCCCCTCAACTTGGGTATGATGATTCACAAGCAATTCAAAAACAAACAGTATAAACATTAAACTTAAACTTGGCAAGTTTAAGTTTAATCATTACATTTTAAGTAAGGATTAAACTTAAACTTGAATTTGGGAAGTTTAAGTTTAATCCAAGTTTAATCTCATAAATTCACCAATTTCATCAAAATTCAATACTTGGAAAAGGACTGTGCAGTCCATATTTTTTTGTATACTGGGCTATACACCCATAGTTGTTTTGGGCCTTGTTTTGAAACTGGACTGCTCAGTCCATATTTTTTTTAGCTGGCTGTCCAGTCCATAGTTGTTTTAAAAACTGGACTGTTCAGTCCACATTTGGTTTAAGCTGGGCTGTCCAGTCCATAGTTGTTTGAAAACTGGACTGTTCAGTCCATGACTTTTTTAAAGCTGGGCTGCAGTCCATGGGTTAAATCCGCCGGCCTGCCGGCGTGTTTTGTGGATGGTCTTGGATTGAATTGCTTGTATTGGATTGAGCTTAGCTTGCTTTCGCTCCCTTGGACGGATTTTTGCTACGGCTGTCCTGTCCTGTCCTCCTTCTTCCCTTTCCTCTCCCCCCCTTCTTTCTGCCCAGGGTTTTTCCTCTTCCACAACAACTGCAACCACAAGATCCACCACCACAACACAACCACCACTACCACCGCCACAAAGTGTATCAATGTTGATGTAGTTTCAAAAGTGCATCCAAATGATGTAGTTTCAAAAGTGCATCAAAAGTGCATCATCATTTTTGGATATTTCTACATGTATTTTTTTAAAGATGAGTACATGCCCAAGTAGTCAAATCATTTCTGAGAACAGGAGCATTGATGTTGCTCAGACTGATCATTCCACAAGTGCAGCAAGTATGCACAGGTAAACTTTCTATACAACAAGTGTGTAAATGTAGACACAAGTACCTCAAGTATGCACAGGTAAGACACAAGTAGTCCAACTGTGCACATGTAGCTGTCCTACCTCTCAAGTAAGCACAGGTAGACACAAGTAGTCCAAATCTGCACATGTAGCTCACCTACTTCTCAAGTAAGCACAGGTAGACACAGGTAGTCCAACTTCATGTAGCTCACCTGTAAGTCACAGGTACTTTGGCAGTTCAAGTATATTGCATTGGGAAAAGACAATTCATTCTCGAGTTCCTCAAATATGCTATAACTACCTGTAACTATATGATAGGTCATTGCACACCACAAAACCTCTCTGAAGTTCTTCAGACAAAAAACAAAAAAGCAAACAATCTTTCAAAATATGAAATATATCAATCAAACAAACTTTTAAAAAATAGATTTTTTTTGGACCAAAAAAATACTATATATACTAAATAAATTTACTATTCCTACTAAATCCATTTACTAGGCTTAGTAAATTTACTTTATAACTAATTATAAATTTGGCCAACTAAATAGCAACATTTACTTAAATTTTGCGACTACTAAATTTACTAGTTTTGCAGGGTCAGGGTACTTTTATGCATGCATCTGACATTTTCACGATCGATCGAGGTGCAGCTGTCTCGTGAGGTGGGCCACATTCCGGAGCCATACGAGCTCCCAATGCCCTTCGGCTTGTGAAGTTTGATAGACCATCCGAGCTCAAGCAGGTATCAAAAAGGTGTATGTGTGTCTGTTTGCTAATCCTTTCGTGATCTACGGCGTAAACAGGCCAAAGATTTCATGATCATTTTGCATAGGCGGCCAAAAGAGTGTCGTTGTGCATCATGCATGTATCATGGGAAACATTTTCGAGATCAAGTTTGCGCAAGAAGCGCCAGAAGAGCCAATGGCGGCAGAGTTTGCCGATGAGTCGCGCTGCAGGGCAGCGGTCCTTGGTGGCCGTGAGGCTTGCGACGTGATGAAGCTGCACCCTCTCGACTGGGCTGCCATGTATGGCTCCATCAAGCGCATGCCCGATGATTTGCTGCCGGGCGGCGGCGGCTCCCAGAACAGGGTCATGGTGACGCCGGACTTGCCCACCTTCAAGCTTCTCTTTCGTTGCTTTTGCGGCGCGGTGGCGGATTTGCAGCTGCCGGAGAACTGCTTCTTTGCCGGATCCGCGGTGTTGGCCGGAGCAACCATTCCCCAGCGCCTTTATGACCGGCGCTTGCAAGAGGCATTTGATAGCTTGGTGGATGCTGAACAAAGGTGCCGGGCCATAGATGATTGGATGATGGGGTCTCTCAAAAGACGCCAGAAGCTGCCGCTGCCTGCTCTGCAGAACATCAAGAAGTGTTTGCCTCCGTGACCTACCATAGGTGCGCTGCGAGCAGAAGTCTTCGCAGCACACGCAGAGCAAGCGGAGCACACGGATTCCGAGATAGATTTGCTGCTGCGCACAGACAATGGATCGGGACCATGCTCGTTCCGACATCGACATCTTTGTGGTGGCCAGCAACGATGCCGAGGCAAATGCAACCGTGGCCAAGCTTTACAAGCTCGTTGGAGAGGCCCTTGAAGAACCATGCACTGTCGTGAAAACCGCCAACACCATCACGTTCTGCAGATCTTGGCCCGAGCGGCACGTTCAGATCATTCTCTACTACCTGCCTTCTGTATCCGCACACCTGATATTTGCGGATTTAGATTGCACCGCCCTTGCATACCATCAGGGAGAAGTCTTTGCACTGCCGCGTGCTCTGAGGGCCTTGGCTTACAAAAGGAACGTGGTTCCAGCCTCGATGCTCGCCAATCGACGCGACGCTCCAAAGAGCCGCAGCCCTTCCACAAGATATGGGTTAATTTGCTGATTGGTGGTGTTAATCGTTCTTTTTTTGCCCCCTAGTTTGGCTGATGATCCCTAGAATTTCAGGGAGAGTAAAACTGTCAGCCTGATCCAACATGTCCATCATACATGGATACCGGAATGTGTGTCACAGTTAGCAAGTGTCTAATGAGTCTTATGAAGCTGGTGTACACATTTGATATAATATGCATTTACCACTTTACCCTTTGGTAGGAGATTGAGAGAAAGTTGTTCTTAAAAACCTTCCAGAAGTAAAATGGAATAGACAATTTTCCGAACGGGAAAAACGCTGGATTTCCAGATCGATGTCGATTTACTGTAGAGTGCACTAGCTGATCATTTGGCAGTGTCAAAAACTCCAGAAACTTGATGACAATAGGCGATTAATTCTACTACCGAATGTAGTTTGATGGGGACTATGACAATCGATGAAATCGGAACCCCCATGAAACCCAACCATTGTTACTTGGTGATTTCCAGACCATTTGGGTACCTAGACTTCGATAGAAAACTCAATCTTGTTTACTTGAGTTCAAGGGCTAACAACTTAGATTCGAACAAATAAAGTATCAAAGTACACAACAAATCTCAGAACTCCTAATGTTGTACTTAATTTGGCTTTGTCTGAAAATTGGGTATACCTCCAAATGGCTATTAAACAATTGGTACAATGCATGAAAATACTAACCAGTGGATTTTGGGATACACTTTCAGAGAAACCCCCCAAAAGATCAAGTTGATTCTAGATAGACATGAACATATCCCTATCATGTCCATGAACATACCGATATATTTTAGTTCTATTTCGACCTCAAGACCCTCAACGGCTGTAAACATATATCCATTGAAGTTCGCGAAGCATTCCATTCATCTTCCCGATATCGGACAATCACCATGTTTCATGTTAAAAATCATAACTCAACCATAACTGGGCCAGAAATTCCATAGCAATGTTGACATAACCAGAGGGCCAGCCATGTGTCTGTCCTGGTCCTAAAATGGGATGACTCCAGGTGGACAGCGACCGAAGATTGGTCTTGAGATCATGTCGCAATGCCAAGATTGATACCAGCAACGATCACCTCAGGCGTCCGATGAATTTTGTGATCCGAAGACATGGGATCTGAAGCTGATAAGGTGATGATTCATGGGACTTCATAGTGATGGTTATAGTCATTTATGGGTATAGCAATGCTGAAAAACACCTCATAAGTTTGGGATATTGGGACATAACCTCAATTATGGTGAACTATGGTGAACTAAATGTGGAACTGCACTTCCAAGTAGGACCTAGTACGATTGATTGTGGCTAGATTATGGATATCGAATATGGGGATATCATTGACAAATGACTCTGGATTGGTTTCAGGGAGTTATTAACCTATTGAGCAGTGGCGGCTGAAACCCTTTTGGTTGACGGTAAAAAAGGGAGTTATACTCCTCAATGTATCTTACCAGGCAATATGCTGCTCTTGTTTCTTTTGCCATAAATTGTGGCACATTTGGAAACACGCACCCCCCAAAAAAAATAGGCATCAAAGATTGACAATGATTTCTAGCGCATCAGTAATGTTTATCGTCATGTCATAGTCATGTTTTGGGACCATTTTTGTGTCAAGGAGAACAGTAACTTTGGATCAAAAGGCACCAATTCTGTCATGGGAAAATGAGCGTTTGTTGAATGTTCGGCGTACGACTCTGATCCCATAGATGTTTCGTAAACGGGATCCCCCCTTTTGGAGCCATTTATAGACCATTCATATACCATTTATAGATCATTTATAGACTATCTATAGACCATTTATATACCATTTATAGATGATTTATAGACTATTTATACCATTTATATACCATTTATAGATCATGTATAGACTATTTATAGACAATTTATAGACTATTTATAGATCATTTGTACACCATTTATAGACCATTGATAAATCGTTTATAGACTATTTATAGATCATTTATAGACTATTTATAGATCATTTATAGACCATTTATAGACCATTTATAGACCATTTATAGACCATTTATAGATCATCTATAGACTATTTATAGACAATTTATAGACCATTTATACATCATTTATAGATTGTTTAAGATCATTTATAGATCATTTATAGACTAGTTATAGACCATTTATAGACTTTATAGACTTTATAGATCATTTATAGACCATTTATAGACCATTTATAGACCATTTATAAATCGTTTATAGACTATTTATAGATCATTTATAGGCCTTGTTTTCCCCCGAACTTTTTGCTTACTCAGCCAGGCTCCAAGCCCTGGGTAAAGAAGGCCGTGTGATCAAGGCGAGGCCTAAAGTTGTGATATGGGTCTGAAAATGGAGGAAGTAACCTTCAAAAATTGACATAACTGGGATACATTGGACATGTATGTATATATACATATATATGTATGTATATATATATGTATATATATGTGTGTAAATGCATATGTATATGTGTATGTGTATATGTAACACACACACACACATATATATATGTATATATGAATATGCATATGTATATGTATATGAAACCAACTTTATATGATGTTTGGGATGTCTTTGGTGTGTCTGAAAATGCAGCACCTTCCAAGCAACAATGTTAATAGGAACATGATGATCTACCACTGCACTTTGGGCCCCAAAATGATTCGACCCAAGAGGTTCTAGGATTGTTGTGAATATTGTACAAACTAAGACATCCTGTAATCCCTTGCCATATACAACCAGTAATCCCTATATACCATCATTATTATATACGGAATATATATATATATATACACACATAAGGAACAAGCAGCACAAGCATTTCTCGGAATTGGATGTGGATTTTCTCAACTAAACCAATCCATTGATTATTATGATGGACATGTGGAAATAGAAAACTTAGAGGGAACCCCGCAGGCGGTAGAGAGCTAATTACTTGGAAGTCGGATATATACCGTATAACCAGATAGCAGTGAAGACGTTGATAAACTACGCACAAAAAAAGAAGTGAAGAAACGGTGTCTCCATCCATGGAACAGCTCGATGTTCTCAGTCAAAACGCACTCTTGGATCATCCCTGGAGCAACAAATAGACCTCATCATGACGCTTGCAATGATATATGTTTGACTTCCCACACAAAACTAACAAGCGATCAACATTCATGCTTGCTTTTGACCTATACAAGCTGATATCTACCAAGTCTACCACGTAGCCGTTGGCCATATATATCATCCCAATCTTGAAGTCTAGACTTCGCCAAGACGGCCGACCGGAAAATAGCCTCCATTTTGGGGACGGTCCCTGGCGATCAACAGTGGTGAAAAAAATCCCGAAGCATCGCCACTGTTTGATGAATTGGGCGTATTCATAGATGGTTTAAAAAAACACCCCGTGAATATTATAGTGTCTATAGATAGATATATATATATATATATAGTTATAAAATGTTACAAATATCATCAACCCATAGATATTATTATTATCACTATTGGAATTACTATTTAGTATCTATAAATAGTATCTATAAATATCATCAACTACAGTTATTGGAATTACCTGCACCAACAAATCGTTTTTTCGTGGCCACGGTCCCAGCACTGGTTCCTGGGCTTCCCTTTGTATTGCTTGTGGGTCACCTTGGAAAAGGGGTTGAATCCCAACATTGCCTTGGATTCATGTAGAATCAGAGAACAACATATTATATTATCAGCATTTCAGCATATTTCAGCATACTGTATACTTAATGCATCCAAAATCATCCAAATGCCATGTAAAAACATACATATATATATATATAACATTTTTTCATCTATTTACATCGCCATGTAAAATGCTGTGTTTGGTCCCAGGTGGACCTCGATGATCAGACCGCTAAGATCAAAGTGCAAGGTGTCGGTGATGTTTGGTGTGCTGACTCAGCGATGTATGCGAACGGGGTATGAGAATGTCTGATTGGTGGTTTGGAACGTGGTTAATGGTTAATCATGGTTATGTAATGATGATTAATGATGATTACATCATCTGATTGGTGTTTTGGAACATGTTTTTTCCCCGTATATTGGGAATTTCATCATCCCAACTGACGAACTCATCTTTTTCAGAGGGGTAGGCTCAACCACCAACCAGATGTTGTTGGAACTGGAAATCGGGGATAAAAACATATGAATGGAGGCATTTTTGAAACAAATGTCCAGTTCGCAAAAATCATCTGCTTTTTTTTGACATGACATTTTGAGATTTGAGAAATATATATGTCGATTGTGGTTCTGGGTCATGGAACCAACTATCTTATGGATAATTATAGGATTTCTATGGATTTCTATGGTGTTCGCACTGGGTCTAACTCCTAGATGTGATGTTAAAATATGTCAAAGACCCAAAAATGGACCATCTGAAGTGGGTATTTTCCTGTTGCTGGTGGATATCTGGTGTGATGAGGTTTACTACTCCTAACTTGACCTGAACCAAGTGAACTCTTGGGAATGGACAGATGTTTTATGCGCTTTGAAACCTGCTTGATTGAAACATGTTTTTTCATGTTTTATGTTTGTCAAAACTTAACTTGACTTTTGAAACACATCGAATGCACCTGAAAAGTGGCATACTGAAAATCGAACACTTCATCAGGTTGAAAGTGTCCAGCAAATATCCACAATGTGTCTTTTTGGGCCGAAGACCGCCTCAGGTTTCCCATGCAGGTCCTTCAGATGGATGCTTCCGAGGGTGCGCAGTCGGACACATTTCTGGACCAGCTGTCAGCCCAGATGGTTTTTTACGTGGCATGGTGAAAAGTTGGCTAAACTGCCCATAAAAGACGGTCTGGGTTACCTGGTTAACCTTGTTAACCTTCTCCCATTCATAGGGAATCATCATGACCGTGCTTCAGGAATCATTTTTGTGATGGTGAGATAAGCATACCCCATGTACTGTCCAACTATGTCATGGGAATTATATGGAATTATGTCATGGATTTGTTTTCCAGTGGAGCCGCAGGGCTTGATGAAAGTCACTTAGCTTTAAGAAAAAGGTATTTCATGAAAGTCACTTCAAATATGTTACTTATTTGAAACTCAATCATGTTCGATCCGTAAAAGCCAACTTGATCCCTTCTTGTAGATGGTGAAGCTTCCGTTGTTCGAGTCATTTTCGCCTCCGAACAACGGACCCTGCGGCCGCGGAAATTCTTGCAGGCTTCGGATCCTTCTTCTCTCAGAACATGTCCCCCTTCAACAACACAACAGGCGGGTGGACTTGAGGGAAATATGTCACTATCAAGGTCCATTCGCTGTGCATACTGGGTCAACCTTTGTTACATTTATTACTGAAAAATCTTTGGAAGGTATACCTAAGACTTATCACGGATGGATATGGATGGCTGATTAGTAACATGACCTCTTCAATTGGGGTCCATTTGGTACTCCAATTTGTTGTTGAGGGGACCACAACTTTGATCAGCAAAGGGTGGATTTCCAGTGTTGACATTCACCTTCCTTTAGCCAACTTGATAATTGTACATCACATGTAAAATCATTGTTTCTTAGGAAAAAATCATCGAACAAATGGCGGATTTCCATTGCATTCAGATTGCCAGATTGCGTAGCCTTAAATAGATCATGTCGTCGCTTGCGTTCGTGATGAGCTTCCAAGATTCCAGGTAAGGATACAGAATCCATCACTCATCTTCACCCTGTCCATCCATGAATTGGCATTGATTTTGCACGCAAAAACTTGTTCGATCTATATATATATATATATACTCAACTGGAGGTGTTTGAGGCTCAACTGGCATCAATCTGTACGTGTTCTCGTTCTGTAGATGCAAATCACCAAGGTCAGATGGGTGCTGAAAATCCATATCCACGGTTTGAAATTCATCCACCTCCATCGGTTTCATTTTGTTTTGGGTTTAATTGGAAAATTGGGGGCTCGTGTGTCTGGTCACCCACCGGTACATGTTTATTTGATTTCTCAGTTATCGAAGCCTCATGCTCCAGCGTGCCAGCGGGGAGGGTTGAATTGGGACTGGATGTGCATTTTGAAAGGTAGTGTTGAAATGCCTTTTTGTTGGTTTAAAAACTGATTATAGCCGCAAGCATTAAAATCTACAATTTTTGGTCAAGGCTGGCCTCGGATTTTGAACAATGTTTCTTCAAGATCGGTTCCATGTAGCCAAACGTAGCCTCAGCAAAAAGGTTGGCAAAAGGGAGGCAAACCTTTTAAACGCGTTAAGTCTGCAATTAAACTACAGTGGCAAAAGGTAGGCCAACCTTTTAAAGATCTGCAATTTTCAGGTCAGAGCTGGTCTTCGACCGCTCGAAGCTTTTAGGTGTGATTTTAAACCATTCACCTTCAGGTACTCAGGGACCCCTGGTTTAATTTTTCTGAGGACATGTGTAGGGACATTCCAGAATCCGCAACGAATCTTTGGACATGCGCATGGTGTCAGAAACAGCTTTGCGGACCGATGACCGGCCCACAAATGTTGCCCCATGCTGTTTACATGTCGAAAAATCAGTCGTAAGATCTGGTCAGCGAGTGAGGTTGTGAACCCGTTCTGCCTCGGTCGGTCACAAACCTCTGAGGGCGCCTGGGTTTCCAACGCCCGTTCATGCAAGCATGTAGGACGCCATGTGAAAAGGTGAGACGGCAGCCCGCTAGCAAATACATGAAGTCAAGCGTATTCAAGCGTATATTCCGCACTATGCCACATGGACAGGCATGCAGGAAAAGGTAGCCTTGGGATGCACAAGACAAAACAACGTTGGGGGCAAATGTGAGAGATGACAAAATGAAGCTGAGGTCTGCAGTCACTGAACCAGTGGCTGTTGATTTTCTACATGTTTGTGCTTCTTTTTTAAGGGGAGCCATCATTAAACCGCGTCTGCGGGGGGTAACTGGAACCCCCCTTGTGTTAATTCAATTTTGACTCCATCCAGGGGGGGACCCTGTAGGAACCCCCCACCTTTAATGCAAGAAAATCACATCCTAATTACACGCATATTATATTATATATTATGGAGCGTTTCATTCCAATTCTTTGTTGGCAAAATTGCCATCAAAAAAACAAACATACCAACGACTGTTTGGTGGTTTGGAACATTTTATATTTTCCATATATTGGGAATGTCATCATCCCAATTGACGAACTCATATTTTTCAGAGGGGTGGCTCAACCACCAACCAGAATATCATTCACAGTTATAAATGGAATATCTATTGTTTATACCATTGATGAGGTTGGTGGCTCAACCACTGAATAACCAGATGAGGTTAAAACATGTTAAGCCATTGATGTTCCCATAATTTCCAAAGAAATTCTCGATGGGCCCATGGGGGATCTCGTGACGTAGCTTCGCACAAGCTTCGGGCTACGATCCATGGTGAATTTCCACCTATTGGTCTATAGCTACTTGCTTTATGAGTGTGAAATATTGGTCTATAGTGGTCTAAAATGGTTGAAATAGTGGTCGAAAATGATCCAAAAAGTCACTTCCAAGGATTTTGCTAGACTTTTGGTCTTTCAAATAATATTGCAATTTGAAACATTGGTCTAAAATGGTCACCCTCAAGGACTGGTCTTTCAATGACTTGGGGGTAGCCCAAAAAGTTGCCAGGCCCGCCGCAGGTGGAGCAGCGAATCGTGCCGAGCCCCAGGTACCCCAGGTATCCCAGCGAATCCACGTGGGGATGGGAAGAATCAATCCTTTTTTCTCAGGGATTTATGACTGGTTGGTGGTTTTTGGAACACATTAATAATAGATGATTAATATATATTATGTTGGTTAATAATGCTAAATTTACTATAAGTGGGCTTTGGAATGTATATATATATATATATATGTACTGGTTGGTGGTTTGGAACATGAATTTGATGACTTTCCATATATTGGGTGTGAAGTTTTGCATGGCCCCTGCACAGGATGACACGCACATAGGATCAGAAGTGTAACCAACTGACATGCCCCGCAGAGCGCTCTTGAGTGGATCAAAATCGAGTTTGGTAGCGGAGCGCTTCGGTGCTCGCTATCTGCGGAGCCATTGGCCTGCTGCTGCTCGATCGGCTGCTACCTCCAACGAGGTTGCCGTGTGAGCACGGCTGGTCTGGCACTGCGGTGGCGACCTACATCCAGGACAAAGGCATCACGGCGAAGGGGCACTACAACCTGCAGAACCTGGCGGCGCACTTCCTGGTGGCGACCGGTGGCTTCACCACCTACTGCATCATCCTGGTCTTCGTCTACGGCATCTTCCTGAACGACCTCTACGCCTTCGACCTCAAGCTGCACTTCGTGGACCTCGAGCTGAACTACGTGGACATCCTGCTGAACTCCGTGGGCTACAAGCCGTTGGACTTCGAGATGCACCAGCCTCCTTCCTCAAGCGGAAGCATACCGCTTCAGGAATATCGAAGAGATATTCCGCCTGGTTGGTCACCAGGGAATCCAGCCTACCCGCTGAAGGAGTACTTCGAGAAGCTCAGGCTTTGGTACCGAGTATGTGGCTTGGAGGACGAGCTCATAGGGCCTATGATAGCTGGTCGCTTGTATGGCCGTGCCTCCAAAGTGGCGATGGCTCTGAGGGTGAGAAGGCCTGATGGCACCTACGACGTGGGCGATGCGGCGCTGGTCAGATTGGCTGTGGACGAGGTGGTCGATCCAAACACTGGCCAGGTGATCCAAGCCCACATTCCCAGCGGAGTTCAACACTTGGTTCAAGCTCTTCGCAATGCCTTTGGCCAACAAGACCACGACATGGCCACTCAGGCGCTGGAGAGGTTTTTCTCTCTCACGAGAGGAAAGATGAGCCTTGCCGAGTATGCGGTGGAGTTTGATTCGAGGATGGATGAGGCTCACGACAGAGCCGGCCTTGTCATGAACGATGTGGCGAAGTTTTACCTGTTCTTCAAAGGTTCAGGTTTGAGCAACAAGGCCATCGACGACATCAAGCTCCAGGTCCAAGGAGATCACAGTCGTTTTGCAGATGCTCGAGCTTTAGCTTTGAGGTTGTCTCCATCTCGACCCGAAGAACATGGTGGCGACGTCTTCTATGCGGACCAGGACGACTATGACGAGACGGTCAACTATGACGCCTGGTATGACTCCTCCGAGAACTATTGGTACGACGACTACTCCCAGGACTATGGCTATGACGATGAAGGCAGCTGGCACTGGGATGGAGAAGAGCTCTACTATGGCGACATGGATGACTGGTATGATGAAGATCAAGAATGGCAAGAAGAAGGCTACCAAACCGCCCATGAAGACTCCCTGGAGACGAACCCTGAGAACGCCGACGAGGTCAAGGAAGAGTACTACAAGGGGAAGAGCAAAGGCAAGGGCAACAACGATGGTTGCTTTCGATGTGGAAGCAAATGGCACATGGCCAGAGACTGTCCGATGAACGACAAGGGCTATGGCAAGTCTGGTGGAAAAGGATCGATGAAAGGCAAGTCAAAAGGAAAGAGCAAAGGTGGATGGCGATGGCGCCCCAACTACAAAGGAAGCTACAAGGGCAAAGGCAAAGGCAAGAAAGGTGGATACAAGGGTTCCAAAGGCTATGGCAAGACCAACTGGTACGTCCATCGACCCCCTTTGGACGCCTACGATGGAATCCCTTCCAATGTGCCGAGGCAAGACAACTCCGAGGAGTTCAACATCCACACACCGCCTGATGCAGAGGACTTCATGAGCATCCCGAGATCTTCAACCAGGACAAGATCTACTTCGGATGGTCATGGACAAGAACATGGAGCTGTCATGCCGGAGAAGCGCATCCACGAGGCCTTCAGCTTTGCCTTCAACAACTACTACCAGGCCACGGACTATTTCATGGTCAGAGGACAGAAACGTCGAGGCCTGATCATTGATCCAGGAGCTGCCAGCGGACTCATCGGATCAGAGACCCTTCGAGATCTGGTGGCAACATGTGTCAAGCCCTTCGGCAAGGAGATCTCCATCGAGAAGGACGTGACTTCACCGGTGTCAGGCATTGATGGAAAGTCTGACCAGACTCTTGGACGAGTCACTGTGCCTTTGCTGTCGTCTGGAAAGGCCATCAAGTTCTGCGGTGAAGTGATTGGAGGACAAGGTTCTCTTTGCCCAGCTCTAGTTGGAAATCCTTCCCTGAGGAAGATGAACTGTGTCATCTTCAGCAACTACTTTTCCAACGGTGATGGACTCCTCGCCATGAACCACAAGGAGGAGCCACAGTCATCGAGATTGCTGAGATTGCTGTTGACTGACAGCGGACACTACATCCTTGCCATCGACGGCATTGACGAGACCAAGATCACCAAGGACGTGCAAAAGGAGACCTACACGTTCTGCAGTCAAGTGCTCTCAAGCAGCATCGAGAAATGGCCAAAGTCCGAGATCAATCCCCGGTTGCTTCATGTCTTCGCTGTGACGCAGGCAGGAGGGAACCGGTGTGAACAACAACAATATGAATCACGTGAACATCGTGAACAACAAGAATCCTCCTCTACTGACGACAAGGACAATGGCGACAAAGCTGCCAACATCATGGACAAGCCCGACAAGACTGACACCAATGCGACAGTCCTCCATGAATCTGATGGCAAGCTCAACTTGGACAAGAACAACCACGATGCTGTCGAAGCTGTTTCACAACCAGGCATTTTGCCTTCCATGGAATCCACAAAGGAGCCCAACAAGCACAACATTTTTTCCAGTGAGCCCAAGCTCTGCGGGCCTACATCTTTTTCTGCGACAACTGAGGAGTTGCCGAAGATTGTCAAGAAGGTGCACTTCGACGATGCGCATCAGCCTGCCTCTTTGGAAGCAGCATCCAACAACGTTGAAGAGCCCTCCAACAAGGATGAGAAAGACTCCCTGGACATCCACTACAAGGAGTCTGACTTTCCCATCTACACCGAGGACATGCTTCCTGATGGAGCAGACCATGTCAAGCTGAAGAAGCGCTACAAGGCGATCAAAGAGGAGTTCTACACTCAAAGTGGTCACAGACCAGTGACACCTTCCAACTTTCGCAGTTGGATGAACAAGTCCAAGGGCAGAAACAAGAGATGGCACTTCTGGGAAATCTTCAGTGGCTCAGGCAGACTCTCCCTGACGCTTTTGCTTTCAGGCTTAGCAGTTGGACCTCCAATCGACATGAGGTATGGCTGGGACGTCAACAACACTTCTCATCAAGCCATGCTTCTGGAAGCCCAACGAGAGTTCAAGCCTGGCACTATCCACTATGCACCAGACTGTGCACCCTGGAGTGTGTCATCAAGTTCCAAGGATCCAGCACTACGACATCAAGATCGTCTTCATGATCTTCCAGCCTTGAAGTTTGTCCAGAACAGCTGTGAAGAACAATCCCGAGAAGGACGCGGCTACACTGTGGAGCAGCCCTATGGCAGTGCCATGATGGATGAAGGCTTGCGCCTTGACCGCATCCCTGACTGCAAGAAGAAACAACGAGTTGATCAATGCATGCATGGTGCAGTCAGCGAACTTGGTGATCCTGTCCAGAAGGCAACAGCCCTGATTGGCAACATCAAGTACAACAAGACAGCTTTGAGGTGCAGTGGTCATCAAGGTCAACCACATGCTCATCTACAAGGGCAGACTGGTGGTCACAATCGCACCACTCTTGCTGCAGTGTACCCGAAACAGATGTGCCAACGAATGCGGCAGGACATCATCAAGTACCTCCACAACCGCGACCTCATGCGGGTGAAGACCGAGAACTTCTATGAGTGCGTTCGCTGTACCTTGGGACGCTTTTGCCCAAAAGGAATTGACCACACTATGATTCCTGGACAATGTCGACATGGACGCTATGCAGCTGGGACCAATCCAAAGTTGAAGTCAACGTCATCTGCGGCTGACCCCATCACTGACTGGAAGAAGGCGGCAGACCGCGAAGCTTTGGATGTTGTCCAACTCGACAACGAGCTTGACAAGGAGTTCAACGTCAAGGAGTCCCACTACCTGAAGAAGCTGCTCATTGAATCAGTGAACAACGCTCTTGGCCTGTTCACAGAAGCCTCCAACCGCAAGATCGACTACACCCACTGGATCGACAATCCTGTGGCGATTGCCTTGTTCAAGGAGCTTTTCAAAGAAGTCATGCAGGTGAAAGCCATCAAGGTTTTGCTGCGACCTTTCAGAAAATCCTCAGCTGAACCACACCTTTCTATGGCTTCTGGCTACCTGCGGCTGTTCATCATTGGCGATGTGAAGCACTGGAAAGTTCTGAAGATTGAAGACATGAGAGAGCTCAGCTTCAGCCAGATCAACGAGGCGATAGATGAGGATGACTGGGTTCTGGTCTTGTATGGTGTCGAACTTGATTCAGTACCAGCACCATCGACACCCGCTGCACGATCCAGATCTATCCCAGCTCAGCCTGCACTACCACCTCGACGAGATGATGCAGCACTTGTTCCAGCGGAACCACAACCACAAATTCAAGAACGACCTGATGATGAACGAGAAGAAGAAGCTCTGGCATTCCAGCATATGAAGAGTTCGAGGCACATGGACGAGCTGCACTAGCTCCAGTCAAGCCCAACTACAACTTGCGGCGAGTTCTTGAACGACTTCCCAAGTTGGTGGATTCTGGTGACGTGACCACAGCCAAGAGACTGTTGGTCGGCCTTCATGAACGACTTTGGCACACACCGGCAGGAGACTTTTGCAACCTCCTTCGCCGAGCTGGACTTCCTCAACCAGTGATCACCCTTGCAGCTGAAGCAGTTCAAAGCTGCGTGGTGTGCCGGAAGTTTGTCAGATTGCCAAATCGTCCACAAGTACGAGCTGGAGGTGCAACCATCTTCAACGAGACGGTTCAGTTCGACTTGTTCCACCTGGACGACGTCACATACATGATCCTGCTGGATGAAGCTACTCGCTTCAAGACCTGCTCAGTTCCTGAAGGACAAGATGCACAACAGTTGCTGGCCTCTATGCTTCAGAACTGGATTCAGTTCTTTGGTCCACCTGCTCGACTTGTACTGGACCAACAAGCCTCTCTGATGTCACATGAAGCTGGAGGTGAATTCGAACGGATGAACATCGTTCGATGTCCCAGAGGAACGACTCAAGGACAAGGTGCAGAACAACACACTGGAACTGGCTTGGTTGAACGACATGTTCAACTCACCAAGCTCACCATCATGAAGTTGAAAGCCGAGCTTCAACGCCAAGGTCTGAACCCAGAACCAGCTGAACTTGGAATGGAAAGCGCTATGGCGCACAACCAGACGATCAACTATGGAGGTGCCACACCAAGCATGAGCGTCTTTGGCATCCTTCCACGTGGGTTCTACAACCCTGAGACTCCAGGTCTTCTTTCCACTTTTGGCTCCATGCAGAAGGACGTGACGGTGTTCGAACGCGCTATGCGCATCAGGCAGACTGCCTTGGCCCAGACACATCAAGCGATCATCGAAGATCGTGTCGCAAGAGCCAATCGACATCGTCCTCACCAGCTGGAGACTGACAAGCTCACCGCTGGAGTGTCTGAAGTGGAGTACTACAGAGAAGTTGCAGGAGATCCTGGATGGCGTGGCCCAGCACTTTTACTACGACTTGATCAAGATGAAGGTGTTGCTGTGATCCAGTACCAGGGCAAGCCCTACTTGGTTTCTTTGAGACACATCAGGCCCTATGTTGGCATGTTCCACTTTGAGATGGTCAACGAACCTGTGGAGAACGAGCTCAACAACCTGATGAAGTACGTGGAACACCTTTGCGAGTACAAGGCCTATATCATTGGATGGATTCAGAAGAAGCACTTGGACCAATACTCCAAAGGAGACACCAGCTATCACCAAGGCGATGGAATGGGCAGACAAGATCTCCAAAGCCATGACCAAGAAACCATTGCATGGCATCATCATGGGACGAGCTCTCAAAACCTTCAAACCTCCCAACAACACGACTGGCAAGTTGGTGACATGGATTCAAGGTGGCAAGAACTACTCCGTGCAGGAGCACTTGAACGCGAACCACCTGAGAATGAAGAAAATCTCCAACTACACCAGGGAGGACCTCTGTATCATCTACTTCTACTACAACCTGGACATCAAGGAGGAGATCACCTACGACCCAAAGTCCAAGGAGAAGCCTGCGAATGACCAAAAGCCAAATGGCGATGGTTCAGAGGAGATGGACACAGAGAACGTTCCAAAGAAACGAGATGAGCCAGAAGATCCAGGACTACAAGAATCTGAGAAGAAGAAGCAGAAGGTTGCGATGGTGAAGAAGGACATCAAGAAGGTGGCGATTCTGCAGAAGGACATCGAGTTCCTACGGAGCTTCTACACCATCAACGCCAACACCAAGATCATCCTGGACTTCCCACTGGAATGGAAGATTGGCTACAGCATCATGCTGCCCACGGCCAAGAACTTTCTGACCCAAGAGTACCAACATCGTCAACGACAATGTGGACATCTCTTCACCTTGGCCTACAAGACATCCGGCGATGCAACAGCATGCCTGAGAACCGCTCAGATCTTCAAGGTCGACGAGGAGACCAACAACATCAACGAAGGTGACATCACACCCGATCTATGGCATTTGGTGGATTCAGCCGATCGAGCTGAAGTCAAGCAGTTTGTGGAGGAGAAAGCATTCAAAAAGATGCACAAGAGCAAGTTCACGGCCGAGATGGTCATCATAGATGCCAGATGGGTTCGGAAGTGGAAAAGATACCCAAATGGCGAGTTGAAGGTGAAATCAAGACTCTGTGCCAGAGGATGTTTCGACTCCCAGAAAGACCTCTTGACGACGAGATCTACCACTGCCACAAGATTGAGCCAACGACTTCTTTTGAGTCATGCTGCTCGAAAGCGCAGCCGAAGACTCGAGTCCATCGACATCGCTGGCGCCTTCCTGAAAGGTTTCTCTTTCTCCGAGATTCAACGAGCTCTACGTGAAGCTGGAGTTGATGCACCAAGCCGAGTGGTGGTACTTCTACCTCCCTTGAACGTCTTTCGTCACCTGAGTGACTTGAGCCCTGACTTCAAGGGGATGACAGACCTCCAAGCTATGGAGTACGGCTTACTCTGCGTCAAGCCGGTCTATGGGTTGAATGACGCCCCATTGGCATGGCAATTGTGCCTGCACCAGTTTGTCAAGCAACATGGTGGACACCCATCACATCTGGACGACTGCACTTTCTCTTGGAAAGGCCAACGACCAGAAGAACCAGAAGCTGAATCAATTGCCACGACACATGTGGATGACATCGCTCTTTCTGGCGAGCAACCATGGCTGGACCATATGCACCAGCTGTTCCTCAAGCGTTTTGGCAAGGTGACCAGACAGACCTTACCATTTGTTCACTGTGGCTGCAAGTATGAGAAAACGCCCACAGGCTACAAGGTCAGCCAACAAGAGTTTGCCAGCAAACTCCGACCTGTTCCAGTACCAGACCGAGAAGACACTTTAAAGCTGACCAAAGAAGAAGTATCAACCTTTCGCTCAATCCTTGGAGCACTTTTGTGGTTGACTGCCACACGCCTTGACATCATCGCAGATGTATCAGTTCTTCAAGCGAAGGTGACAGTGGCTGAGATTCAACACCTCAAGCAAGCCAATGACATCCTGATCAAAGTGGCGGAGTACATCGAGGTTGGACTCCACTACAGGATGATGGAAGCCAAGCACATCAGACTGGTGTGTATTCACGATGCTTCCTCTGCTGCTCAAGGACGAAGCTATGCTCAAGAAGGTTTGCTGATCGGTATCATGGAAGACAAGTTCCACGACGTCACTTTGGAAGCCGAGACTGAATTTCAAGATGGAGAAGGCGAACATGGAGTGGAGAACCATGGTGGAATCTTCCACATTCTTCATGCCAGTGGATCCAAGGCGAAAAGAATTTCCTACAGCACTTCACATGCTGAAACCTTGTCTATGGTTGGTGGAATGGAAGCCTCAACTATGATCATGGTTAGACTGGCCGAACTACACCATCCTGCCAAAGCTCCCACGATCAAGCAGCTTGTGCAGATTCAAGAAGCTGCCGATCCTAAGATCCCAATGGACTTTTATGGAGACTGCCGAGATCTATTTGAACTCATCACTGGACGACGAACGCTGCCTCAAGACAAATCGCAGCGCTTGTATGTTTTGAGTTTGAAAGAATCAAGAGTTTCTGGAAAACTGCGAATGGCAACTTTGGTGCCTACAGAAGCTATGACGGCTGACTCATTGACCAAGCCGATGGTTCATGATTGCATGCTACTTTTGTTGACAACTGGAATCGTCAGGTTTTTCAACGTGCCTGATCACAAGGTGGTGACGAGAATTCTCCCAGCACTGGAAGAGTACACAGAGCACGACCTTCACAAGTCCGATGACGAGCTGATGGACGACGTTGTCAAGGGCATCAAACAGCCGAAGATCAGTCATGGAGCTGTTTTGCTGAGTTTGTTTTCACGAAGCATGTTACCAATGCTGGTGGCAACGTGTGCGAGTGGTGCAACGGCTCAAGAGTTTGACGAGACCTATGTCCCTGACTCCAATGCAGTTGCGAAGAACAACAGCATCCCGAACTATGCCAACTACTTCGGGGTCTACATCTCCATCTTCCTCACCGTGATCCTCGCCGTGAACATGGACAAGATTCTGAAGTATGTGACCTACAAGGTGACGAAGAAGCTCTACAGGCCTTTGCAGGCCGTGAAGGAGGAAGACACGACAGAAGCGATGGATGTGGACGAAGAAGGCGATCCCGACATGATGGCGAATCGCATTGCTGCACTCAAGCGGAAGGTCATGGATGTGAACGCAGCAAATCGTGCTGCCAAGAAGAAGATCCAAGATCAACAAGGAGAACTGGATGAACTCAGAGATGACCTACGCGAAGCCAAGACGGAGATCACATCATGGATAGACTGCGCCGACAACTACAGCGCCAAGACCAACATGTGCCTGGCGGATTCGGCGAGCTACAAGAGAGATCTCCAAGAACTCAGAACCGAGCACGAGGAGCTGAAAGACAGGTACGACCAGGCCCAAAATGACATCAACCTGGAAGAGCAGGTGCGACGTCAACGTGAAAGAGGAGATCAGCTTTGTGACAAGGTGGATGATATACAAGGTGCGCTGCAGCACTCCAAGAATGCCAACGCGATGGCTGCACGAGCCAATGCCAGCAAGGACGCGAAGATTGCCGAGCTGACAGCTGCGCTGCAGACTGCGAAGCAACAGGCTCAAGCAGTCAGACCAAGCCGTGCTGCCGACCAGAACGAGGTGGCCGAGCTCACGCAGAAGATCACCGACCTGACCAAGAAGAATGAGGACTTGGACAGGGAGAAGAACGTCCTGAAGGCGACCTGCGAGCAGCGCGCCCGTGAGATCCTTGGCCTAAGAGAGGCCAATAGGGAGGCAAAAGCCCCTCCAACTGTGCATATCACGCGAGGTGGGTCATGCTACCATAGCGACGGTTGCAACCACCTGAGCCATGCCGGTCAGCCAAGAGCTGTGGTAGAGTTGCGCAAATGTCGCGACTGCTGGCCGTGAGCACAGAGCAGGAGGGCACCGGTGTGAAGTTTTGCATGGCCCCTGCACAGGATGACACGCACATAGGACAGAAGTGTAACCAACTGACATGCCCCGCAGAGCGCTCTTGAGTGGATCAAAATCGAGTCATAATACATACGTGTATATATATATATGTGATTCATATGATCTTATACTGTATGATTGTTAAATCCCAACAATTGGAAAAAGGCACACACTGAAGTTCCGACTTCACTGGCCCACCTCACCACATTTATGATGAGAATTAGCTAATAAAGCAAGTTTGGTGAGAATAATTTGCTCAGATGTTGTGGCGCCTGCTCAAAACCAGGGGAAGACTGTAGGGTCGTAATATGTTGTCATTTGATGTGGGGTTCCTGTCTTGAAGCTTGGGTCAAAAGCAGAAACCGCATTCCAAGTTGTTAGACACATCAGATGCCCCATGAAGCCGCAACTAAAAATAACAGGCATAGTCAATTGTTTTACCCTCTGGTAATTTAACATAGCTATTGAAAATGACAATTTATAGTGGATTTTCCCATTAAAAATGGTGATTTCCAATAGCTATGTTAGTTTACCAGAGGGTAAGTCGACATGTGCAGGCTGCAGTGACTGACTCGAAAGAACATGTTCCGCACTCGGAAAAAAATCCACTGCGCTTGCTCTGTTGAAGCCTAGCTGACGGATGAAAGATTTCATCTACGCCTGGGAATCGGTTGGCAGTTTGGCCCCCCTGATTTGTCAATAGCAAAAAGGTGATCATCGGTGCCACTTAAATGGAACCCGTACACACCTGTGGCACGTTGAAAAGAAGGTTGTTGTGAATTCTGTTCTTCCAATAAGCATAGGAATGATCACACAAAACGTTTGGTGATGACCAAAAATATTCAATTGAAAACATTATGCCACCAATAGGAAGGATTTGTTTGAATTCTGATCCAGAGAATTTCTGTTCTCCTGGTGGTGTGCAGTGCATGGTCACCCATTGGTGGCGCGTGATGCTGATGATGTTCATGACAAGAACAGTTGAGCCGCGGATGAAAAGCTGATGCGTGTCCTGTCGGGGGCGTTGCGGACTTGGAGATATGTTCAGGACCTGGAAAAAATCCAGCATGGTCAAGGTCCATTTGATTGGTCAAGGTCCAGTGCTTGGGCTGCTTGGGGTTTCCCAAGATTTCATGAGAGACAGTTCCACTACATTGTCCACATCTTGGTGGGTGAAACAAACGAGTACGGAAAACCAAGCGGGATAGATATCAGTGAGATGAACCTGGATTTCCTGTAGTTTCTCGAAGTCATGACAGCAGAAGCACTTAGAGGTGGTGCCCCATTGTGGTGGTGAATAAATGTGAATTCCAGTAGGTTCATATTAAAGTGTTTATGCATATATCTATATCAAATTCCATGAATACATCAGTTTGTCATAATAGTCTCGCCTGGTATCATGATATCAATGTCCTATCACTTTTCTACCAACTGAATCTTTTTGTGTCATCATATGTCCATACCATGTCTCTAACAAATTAAAGGACCGGATAACCCCACAAGTCAACTTCTTCCAACAAGCAACAAAAGAAAGGCAAAGACGGCATGGGGTAAGCAAGAAGGAGAAAAGAGATGGTGAAGGATAGGTGTGGAGTAAGTTATGTGTGGACGAGTATGTGTGAGTAAGTTGTGTATGGATGAGTTGTGTTTGTGTGTGAGGTGTGTGTGTGTGTGCGAGTATGTGTGTGTGGTGTGCGGCCACGATCAAAGATGCCCCACGCCAGGAAGTGCGGCGAAGGGCAATCGATGCGTGACCATTGATTATGTGTCCGCAAACGTACAGCGCAGACCATCACGAAAACGGATGGCCCACGACTGGCGTTTGGATGATGTGTGTGTGTGTGGGTGTGTGTGTGTGTGTGTGTGCGTGGGCGTGTATGCGTGCGTGCGTGCGTGCGTGCGTGCGTGCGTGGGTGTGTGTGTGTGTTTGTCTGTGTGTGTGTGTTTGTCTGTGTGTGTGTGTTTGTCTGTGTGTGTGTGTGTGTGGGTGTTTGTCTGTGTGTGTGTATGTGTGTGTGTCTGTGTGTGTGTGTGAGTGCGGGTGTCGGCGTGGACCATGTACGCGATGAGGTCAGTACCTGGCAGGTAGTATCAGAAGATGCGATCACGCTGAAATTGCAACAAAACAGCTGTCCATGGGCAGTGCAGAATTTAGCCTACAACGCTCCTGTTCCTCTTGGCTTGTCAACTACTGGCCCACGACACCGGTGCAGACAAGCGCATGAGAAACAAACACAGCTGCACCTTTCGAAGTTTTGCCGCTATGATTCATCGGATAACGCATTTGCTTCTCGCATCAACTATCGCACAGTGCTTCAATGTGGCCACAGGAGCTATGGAAACTACCTTGCCTCAATCCATCGGATGACACACTTCCTTCTCGAACAACTGTCGCAGTGTGATAAACTCTCTTCAAGAGGAGAGGCATCATCTTTGCACGGTGCATCAATGTGCCCACACAAGCTGTTAACACAAACTTCAATATCGCAGGCATCATCTTCGCACATTGCATCAATGCGCCCACGACAGCTGTTGACAGTGTACCATCCCATGACATGAAGCTCTCGCGACATCTGCCTACATGGCATCATAAGGCAGTAGAGCAAAATACAAATAATGGTAGCTACCTCGCCTCAATTCATCGGATGACACACTTCCTTCTCGTAACAACTGTCGCACTCTGATACTTTATTGTCAGTTCGTACTTGCTGAACTTTAAGTTGTTTATAAGTTGCTTATAAGTATGTTGTACTATGGTTGTACTAACTACAACTTCGATAAGTATACTTACGGGAAGCATGAAGTTAGGGTAAGTTATAAGATAGATACTGTAGATATAACAACTTATAAGTAGTTATAACTAAAATAAGTTCTCAGCTGGTTTTTTCCTTTTACCAAAAAATGCAAAACCTGAAAACTTATATAAGTTATGAAAACTTTTTTTTTTGCTGCAAAAATCCTAAACTTGAAGATTATACCCTTTTTCTTTGTTTTTTCTGTCAAATTTTCGATATAGCACGTGAAAAATCAATATTTTCGCGTTGCTCACTGGATCTGATGCGCAGCTTCTGTTTGCATTTGTTGTTTCATTTTGGTGGCGCAAAGCATTGCGGAAACGATTTTCCGCAGGAAAGTGTGTCACATGCTGCTAGCCTAGATTTTTCAATTCAATAATAGCTCATGTTTCATCATCCATGCATCTTAATGTATCTTAATGTATCTTTAGGTATCTTTATGTATCTTTATGTATCTTTCGAAACCGGTTGAAAAGATACATAAAGATACGTAAAGATACGTACGTATCTTCCGGAACGGTTTTGAAAGATACATAAAGATACGTAAAGATACGTACGTATCTTCCGGAACGGTTTTGAAAGATACATAAAGATACGTAAAGATACGTCAGAAACAAAAAGATACATAAAGATACATAAAGATACGTAAAGATACATAAAGATACAAAAAGATACATAAAAAAAAACTGTAGCAAACTCTACAAGATTACATACGTCACCTCGTTGCCACAGTTAGCGTCCTTAAAAAAGCATTGCTTTTTTTTTCTCATATGTGCCTTCTTTGAAAGCAATGCCTGGCTACAGCGCGGTCCTCTGGACAATGAAAAATGTTAAACACCAAAATTTTGAAAACCTAAAAACTTATATAAGTTATAACAACTTATTTAAACTTATCGAAGTTATGGAACATAGTTGTTTTCAAGGAAAACATAACTTCCATAACTTCCATAAGTTCACTTATATGTGCTACAACTGCTATAACTACCACAACTTACTTATAACTTCCGCAAGTACGAACTGACAATAAAGTAAACTTTCTTCAGCAGGCATCATCTTCGCACAGCGCATCAATGTGCCGACACAAGCTGTTAGTATAAACTTCGCTATCGCAGGCATCATCTTCGCACATTGCATCAATGCGCCCACGACAGCTGTTGACAGTGACATACAAATAGCTGCAACTGTTTGCACAGAACCTGTTCTGAGCTGGGACGAACGCCATCTTTTCTTTCGATCACATTTGCATCGTGTTCAGGAGCATATAGTGTTTGTCCTTGCGCAACTGCTGAATGCTTTTTGCAAATGCCATGCCACCGTTCTTCAAGAAATTGTACGATGCGTTCCGCTGATCAGTCAAACGAGAAATCGTACAGATCTCCACGATTTCGCGCTGAACTGATCAACGTAATGCTTCGTACAACTTTTTGAAAATGGTGGCATGGCATTTGCCAAAAGCATTCAGCAGTTATGGAAGGAGGACTTAGCATCAAATGTATCTTCGCACGGCGCGTCAATCGATAAAGAGCATATAGTCTGGCAGACTGCATGCATGCTTTCCAGTGCTCCGACAGCTGTTATACCGCAAGAGTCTGCATCCGGTCTGCAGTGACACCGCAAACCGTTATCCACGTGCCTCGATTGCATCAAACCTTGACGCAGAGCAAACACAGGAAACCCAGGGTCTCTGCCTGGACCGTCCAGCCACAGACGCTGGGAACTGACTCGCAAGGTCGAACTGATGCTGTATCTGTAACTGTTCCTGAAGATTCGGTGGCAGAATTGATTCTGCACTGCTCACGCACGTCAGCTCTCACCCGCGCGACCCGGCCCAACCCGCTCGCGGACCCAGGGCTGCGCCGGGCAGACCGTCGAGGCTGGAAAAAAAAAGCGGTTGCATGTTGAGTGGTTCAGCATGCTGTCTGTTGGGTAATAGCGTTGCGTCGTAGTCTTGACCTGGTCGGTCTTTTTCCAGGCTGCCCGCTCGGGCAGCCTGGCCCACCCTCCCTACCTCCCCACATGGGGCCTGCCAGCAACTCTGCCGCAACACTTACAGCAGAAGCACCGCCAGGCCACATCAGAGGAACCGCATCATCACAGAAACCGCCCGTCAAAGAAAAGTTCGAGACAAAAAATCTTTCTGCGATGCAAAGTCACAAATTT